CCCCCCCTGAACGTAAGCATCCAACTGGAAGCAAGCGCACTCAGGATGACAACCGAGCAGTTTAAGCAGTCGTCATATCACTCGCCCCCTGAGGACTACTCATCCTAATAAGCCCACTCTACACTTTAGCAAGGTGAACTTTGGTTGGGAGTTTCGTGGCTTTTGCGATGAACTTCCATACGTTTACATTTTCCATGAATTTATATTGAATTCTGTCCATTGAGAACTAACCAAAGAAAGAAGTACTAGAAAGTGTATTTTCGGCATTCTACGAGCGTGAGAGCAATTACGCATTCCAATATATCAAATAAGTCGTGGTATTTGCGAAAAGATTCAACGCCAAGATAAGTTCCAAAAGAACGGCTGGAAACTTTGCATCGGGAGCTACGGAACGGAATGGAGTGTCCGAGTTTATGTCGACTGACTTCATCCATGGTAATTCGCAGTTCCAAGAGCCCTCCGATTCGCGAAGTATTTGGGATTCTATAATGTTCGGTCCTAGTGGAATATTTGCCCTGACTGACGTTGTTCCGAAGTTCTAAATGGGATCAGACCATCGTCTCCCGCGCTAGATTCTGCTTTTCATGCGTGTAGAGGGTAGCGAAGTTCAGGAGATGGCTCCCCAAGACCGTAATCAAATAAGAACTCTTCGCTTTTCTTGTGAAGATACTGGAAGACTCCGTTATCGACAATATCGATGAGGAATATCACGACAGTGCTAGGAAAGGAGAGAGTCTAAGTTGCCAAGAGTCTATCTTACAATTAGAAGACTCTCTAGCTTATACACCAAAATGGAATCGTGAGAGCAGCAGGCAATCATCCGCTAATGTCCGATGTTACCGACCGACCTATGCAGAGAAGCAAAAAAGGGAGATTTAAAACAGAGAAGAGCAGCAGCAATGGACGAAGCCGACGAGTTCGGAAAGAGCATTGGCGAAGCCCGACGGAGCTTCGCCAATTGTAAGAACAAGATTAGTTCCCTTCGTCGTCCTGACGGAACACTCATTGCGTCTCGAAGGGCGACGGAGAATGTCATCTACGATTTCTTCTCGAATTCACTTTGCAGTAAAGTCTACCTGTCTGCTTACAATCCTAGGCAAAATGGATACTTCCTTCAGTTCCCCTCAGACCGAATTCGTTAGTGCTAGTGGAAAGATTCGACTTAACGAAAATGATGCTCGTGGGAGATAGATTGGTACCTAATGGTCTCTCCACCTAAATGAACGAGTACCTCTTGATGCCCTAGTTAACTGAATCCGTCCAGAAGTTAATCTGAAGAACCACCCAGCTCCGGAGCCGGGCAGAGGAAACGCGTGGTGTGGGGATCATTTAGGAAAATTGAACGAGCGGAGGAGACGAAGAAGCTCCGAATCAGTGCTCACCCTTTCGACACTGCGGTCCCTCTTGCTTTGAGGTACACGTCGGTGACAGGAACTCTACGGAAGCAGGATTAACATGCTGTCAGCGTCATACGACAAACTGTGAAAGAAAGATGCTCGGAATAAATGCACGCAAGTGCAGAAGGGAATCCAGAGTTCCGAGGCCCGTGAATATAAGAAGGTCAGAGATGTCGTTGCTTAGGTGAAAGTATTGAGAACAGGATTACGAAAGCTTTGAACAAAAAGATTGCTAGACCTGGTGTTCCTCGAGCGAGAACATCTGACCGCGTCACTAGCGACTTGGAAGGGAACCTTACTGGCCTGGCGCCCGCGGAAATCGAGACCATTGATAGACCAAGTGGTAGAGATAGTCATTTCATGATCGTAGGTTCGAACAGAGATGTTATTTTTTATGATAACGAAAAGCTAGTGGTTCGAACATTCGAATTTGATTTCTCTTGAAGCGTAAAGAGAAGGTCATAACTTCCTTCAAGCTCTTTTATCTGGTAATCATAGAGCTCTATTCGAAGCGTAAAGAGAAGGCTATAACTCGATGAAAGCCTTTTTATCTGGTAATAACAGAGTTGTTCGTTGCCAATAAAATTCATGCCAGCCCAACTTAGAAGTACGTTCACTCTGGTGTAAGAACGACGTATAAACCGTTTTAGGGAAGTTCAAAATAGCAGGCGTTGAATATTTCTTCGTTGCAATCGATTTACATGTCTATAGGTGCCTCATCATAGCGGATGCCTGAATTGATGTAGTGGAAATTAGAGCATTATCGCGCACGCAGCGTCTTGGATGGAATGAATCAACATAGGCCCAGATCAACCGTGACTTCCCCTCCTAGGTCTGTGAATTGGTACCAAACTTGTTTGGAAGGGTAAAAGCGCTGATTTATACGTCGGTACTGACCATATCCGTTCTCTTAACGACACAAATCTGGATGGAAGTCAAATGCTTGAGCACATACCGAAAATTGGATTGATTAACGCCAAAGACCTCAGATATTAACGTTACCTAATTTTCGTAATTACATTCTAGGATTGAAATCACTCCTATTCCAAGAGAAAAACGAGAAATGGTGAAGGATGGTGAAATTCTCGATCGCCAAGGGAAGGTTCGATGTGGTGGCAATTCCGAACAGTTCTGCTCATTACTAGTGGAAATGATCGAAAGGCTGCAGCTCATCCTAGATTCGAGCTTCTTAGGAATATTATCAGCAATGCCTTACCGAGTTCTGATCCTATACATCCGTTGTCGTCTACCAATTGTATATAATTTACACGAAATAAAGAGAGAACAAAAGAGATCAAAAAATATAAGAATTTCCTTCAGCCACTTTAAAAGAGTATCGGAAGTACTTCACCCTTCGGCGACAGCGCGGCTCAACGGTGGACCGCACCCTTCTCATTGGTTGTTTTCCTCGATTATTAGTTTGACTTGGAGTTTTTCGTATTTAATGGGTTTGGATAAGAAAAACATGGCCATTTCCTCAAAACTGCTAATAAATTCAGTTCTCTCTCTGAACATCACATTTTTTGTGCAATTCTCGAGAACAATCAGTGTAAAAAATGAGTTTCACAACTACTGCCCCTAGAATTGACTCGTCTTATGGGAGCGTAAATACTCCGATAAGCTCGAGTTAGTTTGTTGTAAACAATTTTTCTTGAAGTTGCCCACCTTTTGACCTATCCTCAACCTTTATCTGTATTCCTGTTCGCCTTTTCGAGTGTCGGACAAGTGGGTGCTATGTAAGTCATTCTATTCTCATTCTAGTCAACAAATCATTTTCTAGTTATCGGTACAGAAATGCATTCCTTGATTCAGGAGTCCGTCCATTAGTCATGACCATAGCAAGTACAGCTGCTGAATCCTGGGCTGTCTACCGAAGTAAATCTCAAATCTAAATCTTAGGTGAATTTTAGCCCCCATGTGTAACACCTTCAGAACATAGCTTGAAAAGTTTTATTCGTTGGGTACGACAAATAATTTTTGAAAACCACCCTCCAAGTCGTCCACTGCAGGCTGATCCATTTCGACTCAGAGCTATGTTATGGATGAAACCAGACATAACCAAACTTGGAAACTCATAATTGCCTGATTTACACCTATTTCAAACTGAGTCATGTAAAAGCGCTTGAAAAAAAACAAAAGATTTTCACACTAGAAAACTGTATGAACCGTGGGAAAGCGCGGCTCAACGGTGAGCCGAGGAAGCGGAAAGCTTTGGAATGCGTCTGTCCCGCGTGCCAGACAAGCAGAAAGGCGCGCTGTCGTCAAAGGGTTAAAGTCATATGTTCAGATAACCACGACCTCCAACTTATGTTTTATATTATTCTAATCTCAAAAAAAGTCACTTTTTGACTTTAATACTGGCAAATACAGAAAGTCACTCAAGAGCTGTACATAGGAGTTAAGAACGAAACATAATCATGACAACGCGAGAACAATATTGAATGCAACCAACCTTCGTTCCTACATCATGACCTTCACCGTCTTCTGAAGGTCTATGTCGCTGTGCCTCTCCGTTCTTCAGAATGTCGACGTCAGAAACCTCATTTGATGAAGTCACGAAGAAAAAACGAGCCATTCGAGGAGAACATTAACGATATCAAACTGACTGACATTCGAACAGCCGGCTGTCTCGCGGAAGACGTGAACTCAATTGCCACTACCGCAATTGCACTAAACACTCCTAGCCTGTCGTTTTCAGAAATTTTTCTTCGGGTTTAATTCATATCTGCGTAGAGTTTTAAATGTTTTCCATTGACATGTTTTAGCTGATTGTGGTTACCTACTTAATCTAGGAGGATTCATCGTTGTTTGAGCAGCGTCGGTATAATTCGGAAAGTCGGGATAATCCAAAGTTTTTGTTCTTAATGTAGCAGCACATTAGGTCCATGCTTGACCAGTCCTTTCGTGAAATATTGTTTGCTTTAATATTTTTCTATAGTGCATTCATCGTTCTCTTCAGGATGTCAAATGCAGTTCCTGATCCAGATGACGTCATGGAAGCGGATTACCAAAATCACGTTAGTTACTTACTAATTAGTTTCTTGTGTACAAGAAAAAAAAGTTGCAGTTCGTTGAAATATATTTAGCTCGTGGTATAACTGATGTAGTAACTCAGTCGACACTTGGATTTCAAGCATTTTGTATTTTGTCTAATAATTACCGGTATATTTATTCAAATATTCAGGTGGCTGATGAGCCCCTAGATGACTTTGACATCGATGTAGGAAACGCAAACTTAGAGGAGGAATTGCAGGTGCGCTGAATTCCTTTACCCACGATGTATGTTTAATACGAAAAATTTGTCTAGATCGATAAGAGTTTCCAAAACAGAGAGGGCACCCCAGTGCCTGAAGATACGGCACCTGCGAACCAGAACGGGGATATGGGTATGTTTTAGTCTAGTTTCCGTCGACCTTGAATATCTCTCGCATTTAAGATGTGACTCAAGTTTCTGCTTTGAAACCATCACCTTCTGTAGTCGTTAACAACCCATCTGCTGTGGATATCGAGACTATTTGTCAGTCATATAAAGGACACTCCCTACTTATCAGGTGGTTCATAATCGTCAAAAATAACCTACACAAACCTTTTGCTCAATGTTGAAGTTTCCCTACTTAGGTTGCAGTTCATCGCAGATCATTGTCCTCCACTAAAGAGGGATGCAACCATTGGTATGATCAATGAACTTCATCGGGTATGTCACCTTCAGATGCAATCCATCACCTTATGGATTTGAGCTTTAGAGTTCTTTCAATGTGGCGCGTTACTCGGAATTGATGACTAGTCTCGAAACCATGGAAAAACAGCCGGATGACCAGGTTAGCTTTCTTGCTATGCTTTTCGTGCTTCCCTATTAATTCTGGTTCAGAACCATTTGGAAACACCGGTGCTTGATCAAGCATGGATTGATCAAACTACTGTGAAATCGTCGGTTCAACTAGATTTTCTAGTAACCGAATACAAGAAACAAAAAGACGAAGGTGTCAAGGTATTTGCACATTTTTTACTTTTTCCGTTTTCAATCCCTTCATTGATATCCTTCCTTGTTTTCCTTTGGCACCATCTAGACGTAGCGTTGTCGCACAGGCATAATATTTTTATTGTGAAATCTATACAGTCTCAATCCGAAGCTTTTCGATGTCTGTTTTTTCCTTTTTTGAAGTTAATTTTTGTAATATACGCATGCGCATATATCTTGTATATAGACTCTCTCTTTAGGAGTCTACACGTCGTGCAATGGATGAACTTTTCAATTACTATATAACCGCTGGAGATATTACCGAAGCTTTGCACCTATACAGCCGTGGAATGCGGGAGTATTGTAGTCAGTTTAAGCATATTATTCAGGTTGGTAATAGCGCTTTTTTGGATCTGAAGTACATGAGGACCTTGATGGCGTTGCCTAATCACAATTTTTTCTCATTATTTATCACTCTGTCATCTTGTCGTAGAGCTGTAGATGGAGCTGACTGAGAAAAAGGCAGGGTCGTCTCCATAGCTAATGTTTTTGAAGGAAGTCACTTTGTATTATTATGTTCTCTTACCCATTCATGACGAACTTGTTTTTTCGTTTGAAACATCTTTGTTTAACCCCGGCGAACTACTTTGTTGTGATTATCCTTGGTTGAATTATAGATGTGGACAAATTGGATGGAGGCATCGATATGGGTTGGTGAGTGGCAGCGTGTTGATACAATTGCTGCTCAAGCGGAGCGTAGTATTAAAGAAGCTGAAGAGGCAGAATCGGTGAATTACATTTCTCTTTATTGTCTACTATTACTTGTTGTTCTCTTATCATCCATTATAAATTGCGGTTCAAAATCATCCTATTAGCGTCCCCCAGGAACGCAATAGCATTTATGGAATTCGATTTAAGCAAGCTAATTCGACAGCTGCTTCACGCACACGTCCTGTGATATTTGGTGTCTCATCGAGTACTGCGCGACCTTCTGGAGCTCCAAAATGTGCCCGTTCATTGATCAACACTGGGAAGGTTCTGTTCCATCTTTCCATTATTTCGATCGCAGTGCTTTTCTTTGATTCCTCAGGCTTGGAAGTTTCGGGTTTTTCACTTAGCTATCATGAATGATATTGACCATTGTGGTGTTTTTATAAGTGAATCGTTAAAGGCTAGATTGGATGCTGCATGTGGTTTGTCGAAACTCCAATCTGGTCGTTACAAGCAAGCAGCAGATCGCCTTCTCAAGGTTACTACTTTTCCTTAAAAAATGCTGACGTTCTGTGTTCTTTACCCAATTTATTGCCTATTTAGGTGGACTTAGATGCTTTAGAATTGCCTTGGCTATTTTCTGCATCCGACATGGCAATGTATTGCACTTTGTGTGTCATTGCTAGCTTTGATAGGACAGAGCTGAAAAGGAAAGTCATTAATGATGCCAACTGTCGGTGAGTGGCATCTTTATGTAAAAAAANNNNAAAATCCCAGAAGGTAACTTTTAATTCTGGAAAATCCCAGAAGGTAACTTTTAATTCTGGAAGTTCTATTATCCAGGAAGTTTTTGGAGTCGGAGCCAAAACTAGTCGAACTTCTTCATTGTATCATTAAAAGTCAGTTTGGTCGCGCCTTAGATATTTTGAAGGAAATGAAGGATAGGGTAAGTGTTTGGTTTTTTCGGGTCTTTCGCCACCTCTTTTATAAAATCCTCCTCTTGCAGTTTCTTCTCGACCCTTATCTGAGCGCCCACGTTGAGCCATTATACGCTGTGATACGAGAACGGGCTCTTCTTCAGTATCTTGAACCGTTTGCCTCCGCCGACCTTAATGCCATGGCTAACGTGTTCCGGACTGATCTGCGAAGTGTGAGTGTTTGTTTGCCGAAATGTTTAGCAGTTTGAATTTTTGCTTCAGTTGGAGGATGAGTTGGTGGCACTTTGTGAGCGTGGACAATTATCGGCTCGAATTGATGCCGTTGGTGCTACCATTCGGATGATTCGCGCTAATGAGCGCGAGGAAAACTACAAGAAGTGTGTAAGAAATAGCGGAGGGGGAAGAATTATTCGTTGAGATTTATTTATAATCATAGGATTATTGATGGATGTGATGATATGATTGAACGTTGTGAAGCCGCTATCTTACGCGCTGTCATGCAGCAGGTTCGGCTATTTTTCACCGTTTTGTTGAGGACTGAGCGCATGATTTTTCTTTTAGGCGTGTATTTGTATAAACTCTGAAGGAAGGACCAAGCGAAAAACAATAAGTCATGCCGAAGAGGGTGAGCTGAAGTTCAAATAACTGGTACAATCCCTTTCTCGACCCTTGATTTATCTCTTGCAGCTAGTGATTCTTCAAATACACCTACCCGTCAGAAGGTGTCAGTCCAGAACATGATGCGTGTGCTCAGAGGGCGAGTAGTTCCTCCTTTGCCACAAGGAGCATCTACCCCTGCAACTGCTAATCCTCCTCCAACAACCGTAGCTCCTGCTCCCCCAGTTCCAACACCAGCTAACAATGTGCCTTCTGCTCCAGCTTCCGAATGCCAATCAGGTTCCTCCGCTCCTACACAACAACTTCCGGTTAGTTTTGTTTTCCACTCAATACAGCTAGGATAACAGCCTCCTTTTTGAAATACAATGCATCCAGAACCCTTCTGAAGCTGACAGTTCGGAGGGGAGTGAAGATCCAAAGGAACCAGATCTGAGTTGAAGTAAATCACTTCCTCCATTGTACATTCGTCAACATATTTGAACATTATTAATAAGCTTCGTGCAAGGGTATCGCTATATACATTGTCATGGCTATTTTGCGGATGACTTTTTTTTTCATAACAACGTACATTTCACCGGTTTTTTCTTTCTCCAGAGGTCACTCTGCCTTCTCCAACTTGTCAGATGTTTGAGTGGCTACATGTACTTCTTATTTGTTCGGCAAATTGTTGAAGATCAGCTTTTACTTTGAATTGTGATTAAATTTTTCATAACTAATGTTTGAGTTTTTGAGAGTACCACTTTATAACTGATTGATTGATTCTTGTGCTAATGAGTGGGTGATGCACCACGAGGTGCGAAATGTTGCATAGGGGGTACGCTTGGCATCATTCCCACGACTGGCGTTCAGCAGCATCGCCGGAGCCACCTATTGGAATAGCGGGTGAGGATGTTTGAGCTTTTCGCGTGGCATGTGTCTAGTTGTTTTAATCAAAATGCCACAGATCGGGATATGTCGTTCACGAAGAAAACAAAGAAAACATTGGACGAGTGGGAGGTGTGAGGCGATCGTTTCAGAAGAAGAAGAAGATTCATAACACTACTAAAATTAATGTTTAATACTGCTTTGCCGTACACGTTTCTTATGGCTGAACCGGTTTATTGGTCAACGCTTCGACTGACTCGTCGTCTTCTGGACCTGAAAATAGTTCGGAGCTCCTGATCTGTGACTTACCCGACCAAGCGCCTAAACACGCTGGGCTAGTAGCAACGACTCCCGGAAACTAAAGCACGGAAAAGTTCCCAGCAAAAACAGCCCAGTATTCAGGAAGATCGAACTCGGATCTTCTAGTATTTCCCGTGGTGTCTAGAGAGCTTCAGAGTCAGTCTTTCCGCAGGTATACGTTTTCGATGGATGGTGTGGCTTGTCAATAATGTATTACGATTTGCTACGATCGCCAAGGTTCCAGCTGAGCTGGACGATTGGCTGGTCAGTTGCCTATCAAACAACTTCGCATCGCATAACACAACAGGCGCTTTTCAACGCTCTCGACTGGACAAAACATAAATTTCCACCCTTCTAGCATATGCCGCTTCGACAAGTCCATCAAGTCTATTCTCTTTCTTTTCTTTCCATACTACGATTGTCTTCACTCCTTTGAATTTACGTTACTTTTGAAAAAAATGGACATTACTGACAATGTTAATATCAGCTTAACCGGATGGTATTCCAGGAGTGAAAAGATCTTGAATGAGATAGCGCCCTATCCTGGAGTAATTTGAACCAATCATCCACAGCAATGGCGTAGCCTTTGTTTATTATTGAGTAATAAACAAAGCGGTGGCTGCACGCTTTCAGCAAAAAAGCGCTCTCCCACACCTCCATTGTTCCCCTTGAAGGCTTCGTCCAGTGTTTAAATGGCTTTCCCCAAGTGTTGCTCAGTTACCAGTATCGAATGCTTTCTATCTACCATTTTTTTAAAAAAACTGTTGTTTTTTATAAAATATTTTTTGATCCCAACTCCCGTCCTAGCTCATGAATCGAATTAGTTCAAATGAGGAATCCATCCAACCCTTTAATAACTCACATGTTTAGAAAATAAATCGTAGTTTTTGGTTGGTTCAGTAGATTTAGTTTGTGGCCCACTCAAAGACATAGCTGTCCATAAAAGTGGCTTTGTGGGCTTCTTATTCTAGGAAGATTTGGTTCTTGAGAAATGGGTCAGCGTGGTTCGGCTCGAGAGCTAGTACTAGCACAAGATCCTCCCTCAGCCCAACAAAGATCGAGTTTAATGACTTACTAGAGGCTGATATCATTCAAAATGGAGCACGTTTGTTGTAAAGGCAATA